CATGGAATAGAAAATTTTCAATATAGGTCTTTTGAATAGAAAATTTTCAATGTAGGTATTTGAATATAGTAGATTTTATTTAGTAAGTGGTTAATAAAACTAGTTTATTTAGTAAGTACTTAATAGAACTAGTTTATGTAGTAAGTGCTTAATAGATCTAGTTTAGAGAGAGAGACCTATATTGGCAAATTTAGTTATGTTAGGATTATATATAAGATATTTTGAAATGTTTTTGTTCATATTTTCAACCAAGTGTCTCAATAGTGTTGCTCGAATAGGATATGTGCTTGCCCAAGTGGCCATGTTTGCAGGGAACACCTCTGAGTGGCCTATGTTTTGCCGGAGTGTTGATTAATGCCCGTTCTGGCAAATTTCAGGCGCTCGATATGTTCTTTTTATCCAAAGGTCATGCCAGTTTTTTTCGTGAATTTTGGCATGACTTGTGCTAGAATATGTAGGAAATATCGAGTGGCCCAGATTTTCGAGAAAGATAATTAAACGACATTTCGGGTTGACTTTAAGTCTGTCAGGACTCCACTAGTGGCGGAGCCAGGAAATGTGGATCAGGGGGGCGAGTGTTGTCAAAGTAGGTTAGGGAGGGCCAAAGCATAGTAAAATAGAGTTTTAGCATCAAAATAGTGCTAATTATGCACTGTTCATCAGTGCATTATTAGCAAATTCCCAATGTCAGGGGGGCCAGGGCCCTGCTAGTCCCCCTATCTCCGCCACTGGACTCCACCATATATGAGATTAGAAGAATGCCGACTGTTGTCGTGGGGGTCGTTCGTCCTCTTCCTTCTCGTGATAGACCTTTTGGTAATGCACAGGAAGGTAGAGAAGAACGACCATCACCGACGGTCGCAAATGTCAGAGAGGAATCAGTGAGGGAGAGTCTCCACCATATATGAGAGGACGAAGAATCCCTACTGTTGTCGTGGGGGTAGCTTCTCCTTCGTTCCCGAGTGCTAGACAATTTGGTGTAATGCACTCGGGGACGAAGGGAGGAGCTACCATCACCGACGGTCGAATATATACACCACAGTAGCTGAGAGTTTTCAAGAAAATACTCGACATACCGATAGTCAACCCGTGATGAATAATAATGATCTAATTTAGTTTTTGTAGTACATATATTTAATTTTAGAAGTTTAATCTTTGAATTATGAACATGGAAAATGTCGTCCGACGACGAGGCACCCGGAGTGCGACTGGTGCGGTGACGATCAGGGTCTGTGCAACAGGCCTCACCTGGGAGAAGGTCGGCGCTTCAATATAAGCTCCACGAGACCTTCTATGTTGAAACGGTACGCAACGATGACAAGTGTTTTTTCGTAATTAAGCACGACTTCAGCTTATTCAACGTGTAATTT